TTATAAAAGAAGCCGAGGACGACCACCGACTAGATGGACCGATGACATTAAACGTGTAGCGGGAAACTGGCTACAAGCGGCCCAGTGTAGAGAACACTGGAAAGAATTGAGGGAGGCCTATGTCCAGCAGTGGACGCGATTGGCTGATTGATGATGACTAATAACCACCTAGATGAAATTATAAAAACCAACCTCATAAAACTACAAAGAGGAGTGGGACAAGGGGATACTAACTAGCCCCAAACTATCCATCCTAGATCTCGAAGACATATTTCACAATCTAAAATTAATATAATGAACTAGAAGAAGTGTCCTAAAATGAATCATAGGTCTTAAAATGAATTATAAAAACACCAAAATAGAGAGGAAAGAACAGACAAATAAAACAATACTAAATGTAAAAGAACATCTAATGAATCTAGGAAAACCAAATTAGCTTGCTGAAAGAAAAATACAGATAACATTGATGAAATCGGCGCAGAACAGTGAAAGATGGGGCAATTGGTAGAGACCCGCATCCTGGAGAAGAGTAAAACTTGCAAAATTTTTAATTAAGCACCAAAGGCACAACAGTTGAAAGTGGTAAATGCTGCTTATTGGATCAATAAACAAGAAAATATGATAAACGAAGCTGAACGTTTATAATTCAATTCAATACACACAAAAGAAACTGCTAGCAACAAAATAGACTTTCACAAGCACAATGAAGAGCACATAGCAAAAAGTAGAAACAAGATTCAACTCAGTCATAATAGACTTCCTTACGGCACATGCGCCATTAGTGAGAGCGCCCACCAAAGTGGCGTGGCACGTGGCAAGTAGCAAGTAGCACGCGTCTAGCATGTTACTTAAAATGTAACCAATGAAAACGAATGTTTCAGCGTACACCAAAATGACAGTGACGTCATTCGATCTAATCATTCGTTTGCATTGGTTACATTTCATGTAACATGCTAGACGTGTGCTACTTGCTACTTGCCACGTGCCACGCCACTTTGGTGGGCGCTCACCCTTAAATGTGCACCTGCGTACTGAAGCATGTTTTACCAAAACCGATGTCTGATAAAATATATTGTTTTAATCATATATTTTTGCAAACTTTAAAAAGAATCAAAAAATGTGTTTGCTGTTTCATAATTTTTCTATTGTAGTGCTACTTTAATCATTTCTTGGGCGATAGCCGAAAATATGTAACTTAACAATTTGTTGTTAATGTAATAAAAATCAAATTGTACAAAAAATTTAATTTTCTTACAAATACCTTCAATATTATTAAGGGTCAATATACTTTGTAGTCAAGGCTAATCCATCAACAGTAATTATATGTTTAAATATTTGATGATCTATTTTATTCTTTTTAAAAGTTCAATCAAGGTTCTACTAATAATTCAAAAACCAATAAATAAGGACAAATAGAATGTTTAACACTGATATATGTACTGAAGGCATTCGTGTTCATACACTTGGTTTTGACTATCAACTTAACGGCACTTATAGTAGTTTTTAAAACTCGTAATTATTATGTAGTTTGTCTGATTTGACAATCTTTGCAGCATCATAGTTTACACCTTCCCATCGAAACATTCACCAGCAGAAAAAACTCAGCAGTTATCAGTAAAGCAATTCTTTTTTGAATATATACAGAAAAATACTCCGCTTTAAATACCTACAAATCGACGAGAACCATAAAAAATCAGGATATAAGTTGTGGACGTTCTGAGTAGAAACGGGTTACCAAGTTAGTTCAGCAAGCTGTAAGCATTACAGACGGGGAACGGGAACCCTTTTTACCCTCCAGTACTCGAATACAAGTCCAGCTCGTCAGGCCGTAGACCAGTGGTACTTAAATAAAAAAGAGATAATTTATCTCAGCATGCTAAAGAGCATCGTCGTTATTATTCAGTCGCATTGGATCCATTTTACTCAGTAGCATTGTTAAGTACAAGAGTCTCATGTGACAACTCATTAGTCTCTTCTATCGAATTATTTTGTTGAGATTTTAGATTACCACTGTGGTGACAAGCTCTAACCCAATTGCATAACAGTCTGTCGCTTATAATGTTTTCTTCCGCTAACTTCGCTGATATCATCATGATAAAGATCAGTTGCTTTTATTAGTTTACCATTAGAAATACAAATCAAAGAATGTATTTTAAATATTCGTTCTTACTTCAAGGTTTGCAGTGCATAAGAAAAACACTTTCGCCTTAATAAAATTCAATCAATGTGCACAATATTAGAAACCTTTAATTCCCAATATAATATTTTTGGTTCTCCATCGACAATCATTTATAAATAAACAAATCTAAAGTCAATTTGATAGTACAAAGATGAATACTTAATTAAGGCGTTTAGGAATAAAACAATCAAAAATATTTTCTCTTGTCAACTGTGGCAATTTAGAACTTTGGTATTTTCGAATATATATCATATAAAAAACTAGTTGGTGGACACACTTTGGCTGGACAAAAAAACGTTAACCCTTAAAGTAATTTAAAAATACATAAGGTTGCGAGCTTTTTTGCACCTTTTCGGTAGAGAATTGAATTTTTTAATAAGTATTATTGAATGTTGATATGTTCTATATTTTTGTGATACGAGAATATTTTTTCAAAGGCTTTTGATCAAATCTAATGACAAAAATCGAATGTAATTGTAGTGTTTAAGAGGCCCGAAGCAGTTTTTAGGGTAAAAATATTATAATTAACACATATTGATGGCAGATATCTTTGGATTTTTATCACTAAATATTATGACAATTAAATGATATACATATTTAACTCTGTAGTTTATTTTTTTAAGTGTATATACATGAAGTTGTTGCTATTTATGAACGACAATGCTCTGCCCTAAAGGTTAATGCCGACAATATTGCAAATGTTTGTGAATTTGAAACTTTTAAACCTCTGGATGTTATCACCTGAGTCCTTTAAGGCTCTTGCTGATGTTTCTATATCGAATATTATCAACTAACGAAAAATCTTTGCTTAGAACGTTGTCGGTCAAATATAGCGACACTTCGTATCCAGCTCGAAGGACCAATGTCTGAAAATGTTCTTAGAAGAATGGTGGAAGCATGATGGAAAACACAGAGAGATATAAATATTTGTTTCTAACTGGCGTCTTCTACAATATTCTATTTGTCCAAGAAGAAAGTAAGGCTTCTTGGTCGATGTACCAGTTTTTGAAATATTGTTCATCGTCGCCAGTTACGTAAATATTTATATGTATCTGTGTTTTTTCTCATACTTTAAAATTTTAAAACATTTTACATTGCTTTTGGCTCATAACTTTTTCCTAGTTTTTGTTTTTCCCTTTTTAACATCGATCTTCTTTTTTGACGTGAATTTATTTATTAGCTATAGTTCTGGTATATTCTGGCACTTTTTAAGAATTCTATCTATTTCTCATAGTAATACTCATATGCTAGATAGTCATGGAACCCACCAAAGTAGTGATTGCCTCGATGACTTCTTGGTATAGTTCATTCAATTACCACTTTTGTGACATTCTTTCCTTGTGCTGTATTTTTTAACTTGACACTCTGAATCTTTTTTTTTCTGGTAGCACTACAACCCGGGGTGGGTCTTGGCTGACTGCACAACCTGCTTCCATCTCGAACGGTCGTCCATGATGTTTAAGTCAGTGAGTAGCCCCATTGTTCTCAAATCTGACCATATATTATCTCTCCATCGCATTCGTGGACGTCCTAAGGGCCTTCTCCCTGTCGGGACTTCTTCCCAGATTAACTTGGTAAGGCGGTTATTAGGGAGCCTATGAATATGGCCAGCCCATCTTAGACGTTGGAATTTAATCTCTTGGACTACGTCGCTAGCACTATATATTTGTTTGACCTCGGCATTTGTTCTCATTCGGTATTGGTTAGTATTCGGATCGTGATAGGGACCGAAGATCTTTCTGAGGATTTTTCTCTCAAAGCATCTGAGTTTACTTTCCATTGCTTTTGTCAGCGTCCACGTCTGACACCCATACATGAGCACCGGTCTAATTACTGTTTTATATATCCTGATTTTTGATGTTCGTGTTAGGCTCTTGGATTTAATAGTGTTGTGGAGGCTATACATACATCTCTTTGCTGCCTGAATTCTCCCTTTTATCTCTTCCGTGATATCGTTATCTGTGGTGATAGTCGCTCCGAGATATTTAAAACTCTCCACTCTTTCAAAGTTATAGGGGTCTATTGTTACATTTTGTCCTATTCTATCTCGTCTCTTTTGTCTGTTAATGCACATATATTTGGTTTTCTCTTCATTTACCCTTAGACCGGTATTTTTTGCCTCTCTGAATCTCTGGTAGTAAGATAGTAGTCAGTGCATTATTTCCTATACGCCACGTTCCGGCTTCGTTCCCAAATTTGTCCGATCTTTACAGCTCTTTGTAGAATCCTAGAGTCTTCTTCCTAAGACACTGGATAAAAGTTTTTATGTTAAAATGTGTCCTGCATTCTGTTGCCTTAGTTCGGCTTCTTCAATAACGCTGTTTTGATGTTCTTTTTATGTGCGATCTTTATTAGCTAGATTCCCTTGATCTTCAGCAACAAGTCAAGCTCTAAGTACATCCTGGCGACTTCATTATTCTTGCTTATAGACCACAATGCTTCTTCGTGAGTTTATGATCAAATTTTACTGTCTCATCAACGTTGTTTCTATGTGGGGTATTTCTTAACTTGATTAGCTTGATCTCCGGTAGAAAATCAATCAAAATCCACTTTTTATAGCAATAATCATTGGATTCAAAGTCTTTCATAGCAATTTTTAGTCTTTGTGAACAACTTTAATGGAATCTACAATCCTAATAAAAATTTTCGAAACCTATCAACGAGAGAGAAAATTAACCGTTAAGTTTTTTCATTGTGACAATGTTTAATATATTTGTTGTAATTTTTATTGTATATCGTACTAATATTTACTTGTATTTTTAGGGAACCCGCAGGAAATTAAATTGGGGTTTAAGGGTTGGTAGATAGAACTAAAGTAGTTATGGGGAAACAGAATAGTAAACTTAAACCTGAAGTACTTGAAGATCTCAAACAAAATACGGAATTTTCAGGTAAGTTTTCCTAATCGATTATTTGCTCTTATGTATTAAGTCTTGTTAGTAAAATATTTTTTGCAATAAATCTTGTCTTATCAATTTGGTATGCTAATAACGCTTCAAAATATATAAACTTTTGAACAAAATTATTGCATCACTTGGTTTTAAGTTATACAGGGCTTTCCAATACTGACTCCCGAACTATGACAGTTGGTAGCGACCATATTCTTTTTCTTCTTCTACGGTACTACAACCCAAATTGAGCCTTCATCCAGCCTCTATTTATCACGTCCACTGCTGGACATAGGCCTCCCTTAAACTCCTCCATTCCTCACGATTTTGTGCTCTTTGTTGCCAATTTTTAGTGATACGCCTGATGTCGTCGGCCCAACGTGTAGGTGGTCTTCCTCTACTGCGTTTGTCTGCTCTTGGCCTCCAACTTGTAATTTTGCTCGTCCATCGTGAATCGTGCATTCTCGCTACATGGCCTGCCCAGTTCCATTTTAGTTCCGCTATGCGTTCCACAACATCAGTAATACTCGGCCTTCTTCGCAGATCTTCGTTTCTTATTCGGTCCCTCAACGTCACTCCCAGCATAGACCGTTCCATTCGTCTCTGTGCCACTCTCAGTTTCGAAGCCGTGGTCTTGGTTAAAGTCATAGTTTCCGCCCCATAGGTCATGACCGGTAATACGCATTGGTAAAACACTTTTCTTTTGAGGCTGATTGGTATGTTGGCCCTAAGTGTGTCTCGCAGTTTTCCAAAGGCTGCCCATGTTAAAGTAATTCGTCTTTGGATCTCACATGTTTGGTTATCCCTGCTGATTCTTATTTCATGACCCAAATACGTATATTTCTCCACCAGTTCTACCACTTTGTCTTGAATAGTCAAATGGTTATTGGGGACCAAATTTGTCATAAACTTAGTTTTGGTCAAGTTCATTCTCAGGCCCATCTTCGAACATGCAAAATCCAATTCGTTTAACATATCTGTAGCTTCTCCTAAATTATCTGTGATAAGGACAATGTCATCTGCGAAACGGAGATGGTTAAGCTTTTCGCCGTCTATCGTTACTCGAAATTGATAGACGAAAATTGAGCCTTGGACCTACTTTATTTGTTGCCTACACTCTTTCTTGTCTGTGGCCGATCTTCACCATACACGGACTTCTAAAAGGGTTTGTGCGTCGCTGTTTACTGTCTCTTCCCAGCGCTTTCTTAGCTTTCCAACTAGTTTCTTTCCTGCATTCTAGCATTCAGTGCTCTTTTTGGTAGCCTATCCTCTCTCATTCTTATCACATGTTCGGCCCTACTGCAATCTTTGTATTCTAATGAAGTCTTGGAAGTGGTGCTTCTTTATAGAGTTGATAAAGCTCGTTGTTGTATCAACTTCCGAAGATTCAGTTTGCACTCACAGTTCCTAGTATTCTCCTCAGTACTTTTATTTCGAATGTGTCGAGTTTGCTTTTGTATGTTTCTTTCAGGACCCATGCTTCACTGCCATAGCAGTGAATTTAAGGTTCTATAGATTCTCATCTGTGTATTTCGGTGGACATTTTTAGACCGAAATATATGGGAGAGGCAAAATAAGCTCTATTTGTTGAAACGTTCGTTTGGTCAGTAACTTTCCACGTCCAGTTTGCATTTGCCTAACCGCATACTCCAGTGCCAGGTTAAACAAAGGATGGCCCTGCTTTAGTCGTTGCGAAATTTTAAAAAAGTGTGTGGTATTCCAATTCAGCTAATATTTTGTAGAGTTTGTTCCTTTTGATTGAGTTGTATACCTGTTTGAAGTCTAGCGGTCATATTGTTGAAGATAAATCTGTCAAATTGGCTGTCATTTATTCAGTCATTTTCCAAAGCACTTTGGTGGTTATAGACTACCAAAAAATGTACAAATATTAAAATTGTTGCTGTCGAAATCATCGTCATGGATCATGGGAGTGTGCAGGAGTATCCGAGGCAGTCGAGTTCTCGTCTCTCGCAAGAACTCAACATTTCACAGACCAGAACTTGGTGAATTTTACGTCGTGACTTGGTCTGCACCAGTACAAAATGACCCAGGAGCTAAAGGTAAACTACCAAAAATAACTACATGTGTTCGCTGAAGAGGATATTGGTCCAGTATAAGACGGATTTCTACTCAGAATTCGTTTGATATGCATGGATTTGCGTGAAATTTTGACAGTGGGTAGAAAATAACTCAAATATTAAAATCTACCATATATTAATAGGTGCTTTTCGTCTGGAGGTGGGTACCACCTCAACTCGGGAGGTGGAAAAAGTTGTAACAAAAAAAACTAGTAGTCGCTAGAATAGTGAATTTTAAGACAAAAATGTTCTTTAGGGTTTTTTCGAGAAAACAATACTAGAGAGAGAATGATTCTTCTCTCTGGTTCATTCATCATTCTCTCTCTGGTTGACAAAAAGTATGTAGACCGTTGGAATAATTTTAATAATTTTAAACCGTTTGTCCTTGTGTTAATGTAGTGTTTTGTACAATTTTATGTCCACTTTCATTTGTATTACATTCTACGCTTGCTGGATAGCCAAAATTTGACAAAATGCCCCTGATGATACTGTAGATAGCGAAAGTACTTGGGCAAGATTTGATTAAACTTGTACTCGATATTTGCCTTAGTTTTTCAAAATTAAAATAAAAAATGTCAATTCAGAGCTACATCCAAAAATAAGCAAATCAGAAATAAACAAGGCATTGAAAGAAATGATAAACAACAAATCGCCTGGAAAAGATGGAATAACTGCAGAAAAGCTGACATGTGGTGGAAAACTAGTAATTAATACTCTACTTTCCCTTTTTAACATGATATTAAAAGAAAAAAGAATCTCAAACAACTGGAAGGAATCAGTAACCATTATCCTACACAAGAAATGGAATACAGCAGATATAAAAAACTACTGTCCTATAACACTCTTCAATGTAATGTATAAACCCCTAACAAAAATTTTAACTAATAGATTGACGACAAAATTCGACGGATACCAGTCGAAAGAACAAGCTAGTTTTAGAAAGGGATTCAGCACAAGTGACCATTTACTAAGTATGAAAATACTTATAGAACGAGCAAATGAATACCACATTCCTCTATATATAGCGTTCATAGATTTCGAAAAGGCTTTCGACAGTGTCGAACATTGGGCAGTAAAAAGTTCTTTGATTAACAGCAGAATTGACCACAGATTAACAATTCAAGTATATGAAGGAACAAAATCAATACAAATAAATAGAGGCGTGAGACGGGGTGACGCAATATCACCGAAAATTTTCAATCAGGCTCTGGAAGATATTTTTAAAAGATTAGAATGGCAAGAAAAAGGTATAAAAATTTGTGGACAACGCTTGAACCATCTAAGGTACGCTGATGACATCGTATTGATAACCGATAAAAAGAAAAATTGTTTGAAATGATGAAAGAACTGGACGAAGAAGCTGGAAAGATAAGCCTTAATATAAATTACAGCAAGACCAAAATCATAACAAATACAGATGAAGACATCACAATGAGGATCGGACAAGATGAAATAGAACAAGTTCAGGATTATATATCTGGGTTAAACTATAAAACTTAACAAAGAAAACCAAACAGCAGAGACAAAAGACGAGTTCGACTGGCATGGGCGCATTGGCAAACTAAGCTATATCTTAAAAACAAAGATATTCACAGCATCTTAAGACCGAAGTATACAATCAATGCGTACTCCCTGTTCTCACTTATGGTTCCCAAACGTTGACATTTACAAAAGCAAACATGGACAACATCATAAAAACCCAAAGAGCAATGGAAAGACGAATGTTGCACATAGGACTAATGGATAAAAAGAGAAACGAGTGGATAAGAGAGAAAACAAAAGTGAGGGATGTTAGACAAGAAATTGCAAACTTGAAATTGAGATTTGCAGGACACAATAAGAGACAAAAAGAAGACCGATGGATAAAGTTGGAGATCGTGAGAATATAAACGAAGCAGAGATGGGCAGATGATATCAAGAAGCACGTGGGCTCTAGGTGGATGATTGTAGCGACAGACAGAGAAGAATGGAAAAGGATTGGGGAGGCCTATGTCCAAAGATGGACCGAAGAAGGCTAATTATATAGGTTAGGTTAGGTTAGTTGAAACACAAATATAATTATTATCGTCCCTACTCGTATTTATCGTCCCTACTCGACGCAATGAGTACAAAAATTGATGGTAATTTATATGGGTAAATTGTTGGTACATAGTGGAATATTTTTATTTCTCAGTACCGCTCTGAATGGCTTGTTTAAGCTTGGGTACACAGTTTACTTTAATTGCTATCGACGTATCTTCATCTTGCCTCACTAGAGGTCTCTAGTTGCATACTCTGGTAGTTATTGTCATGTAATTGCCAGAGTAATCGGTGCGTTTTGATTTGGTTTGAGTCTTCTTACAAACTCTTCTGATGACGGGTAGACCCAGAAACACGTGTCAGGGAGTGGTAAGAGACTCAAATTAAATCGAAACGCAACATTCTTCGTATATTTATCGTCCCTACTCGACGCAATGAGTACAAAAATTGATGGTAATTTATATGGGTAAATTGTTGGTACATAGTGGAATATTTTTATTCTCAGTACCGCTCTGAACGGCTTGTTTAAGCTTGGGTACACAGTTTACTTTAATTGCTATCGACGTATCTTCATCTTGCCTCACTAGAGGTCTCTAGTTGCATACTCTGGTAGTTATTGTCATGTAATTGCCAGAGTAATCGGTGCGTTTTGATTTGGTTTGAGTCTTCTTACAAACTCCTTCTGATGACGGGTAGACCCAGAAACACGTGTCAGGGAGTGGTAAGAGACTCAAATTAAATCGAAACGCAACATTCTTCGTATATTTATTGTCCCTACTCGACGCAATGAGTACAAAAATTGATGGTAATTTATATGGGTAAATTGTTGGTACATAGTGGAATATTTTATTCTCAGTACCGCTCTGAATGGCTTGTTTAAGCTTGGGTACACAGTTTACTTTAATTGCTATCGACGTATCTTCATCTTGCCTCACTAGAGGTCTCTAGTTGCATACTCTGGTAGTTATTGTCATGTAGTTGCCAGAGTAATCGGTGCGTTTTGATTTGGTTTGAGTCTTCTTACAAACTCCTTCTGATGACGGGTAGACCCAGAAACACGTGTCAGGGAGTGGTAAGAGACTCAAATTAAATCGAAACGCAACATTCTTCGTATATTTATCGTCCCTACTCGACGCAATGAGTACAAAAATTGATGGTAATTTATATGGGTAAATTGTTGGTACATAGTGGAATATTTTTATTCTCAGTACCGCTCTGAACGGCTTGTTTAAGCTTGGGTACACAGTTTACTTTAATTGCTATCGACGTATCTTCATCTTGCCTCACTAGAGGTCTCTAGTTGCATACTCTGGTAGTTATTGTCATGTAATTGCCAGAGTAATCGGTGCGTTTTGATTTGGTTTGAGTCTTCTTACAAACTCCTTCTGATGACGGGTAGACCCAGAAACACGTGTCAGGGAGTGGTAAGAGACTCAAATTAAATCGAAACGCAACATTCTTCGTATAAATATAATTATGAATGACCAACTTGAGACAAACAGTTCTTCCCTCCTCAACTTATTTAGTTAAGGGCTATGAAGTATTAGACGCATGGCAAAATGGCTCACTTGAGAAAGGCACTCTGCCGAAACAGCTGTAGTGATAAAATATTATAATAAACTTTGTGGAAGTGTTAAAAACAAAAGTTTTCAGTGTTTTATTGCTTAATAAAATAAATGTCCATCACGTATCGTTGGAGTCTATCACAATTGTTTTGTGTTTATTATACAAATATTTCCGCTTAAATATGAATTGTATTACAGATGCCGAGATCCAAGAGTGGTACAAGGGATTCCTAAAAGACTGTCCGAGCGGTCATCTCTCTGTCGACGAATTCAAAAAGATCTACGGCAACTTCTTCCCATACGGCGACGCCTCCAAATTCGCCGAGCACGTTTTCCGCACATTCGATGCCAACGGGGATGGCACCATCGATTTCCGGGAGTTTCTTTGCGCTCTCTCTGTAACCTCCAGGGGTAAACTCGAGCAGAAATTGAAGTGGGCCTTCTCCATGTACGACCTCGACGGCAACGGCTACATCTCCAGACAGGAGATGTTGGAAATTGTTACGGTGAGTTGAATGACTCTTGACATGTATCAACATTTATACGTGTTCGTTTTTTCCCTTATACTAATAGGGTGGAAGATTAAAATATACTTTTAATATGTTGAAATTTTGATAGAAGTTGAATAATAAAAATTATTTTATGATTTTATTACGAAAAAAAAAATTTACCTAAAAAGATTTACATTATGTTTGAAAATTCAAGATAGCTCAGATTTATCCCACAACTGACAATTTCCAACATAATGTCATAGATCAGTGACGAAGAATTTACAAATTACAGTAGAACCTGCTTAATTCGAACTTCGTTAATTCGAAATCTTCTTTAATTCGAATTTTTATTCTGGTCCCTAGCATTTCCTATATAAGTAATGTTAAAAAGTCGTGGATAATTCAAATTATATTTTGGATAATTCGAACTTTTCTACAAGTTAAAAATGCCAATTTCATGCTGGAAATTTCCGCTAAAAGAGGTAGTATTCTTTTCTGTTCTAACGTGCCACTTGTTTCAAGGCCATTGTACATTGTACCCGTACCTGTCACCTCAATTCTAGCCCATCTGGCACGCCCTCGTCCCTTCAGTTGAGATGCGTTGGCGTTGCAATTGCAATCACCGCAAATCACGTCAAGTCACTTCGTATTGAGTAAAGATGTCGTCGCATGGTAATACGTAAACATACAAAACTTTAACATCGGAAAAAATAGCGACAATTAGAGAAGTAGAAAAGGGGACGAAGAAAAAATCTGAAATTGCCAGGGACTTTGGAATTCCTCCTAACACATTATCCACCTACTCGAAGAATAAAGAAAAAATTCTCAACAGTGAAAGTGAGGGCGGTAAACATCGAAAAAGGTTAAGGGAGCCAGAAAATCCAAATTTAGACAGTTGTGTGCTAAAATGGTTCAAACAAGCTAGGGATAAGAAGATTCCCGTGAGTGGTCCCCTTATAAGAAGCAAAGCTGAACAATTTGCTATTGAAATGGGGAAAAACAATTTTAAGGCGAGTACAGGGTGGCTCGACGGCTTTAAAGAACGCAACAAAATTTCTTTCAAATCCATTTGTGGAGAAAGTGGGACCGTTAATCAGCAAGAAGCCAACCAGTGGAAAAAAATTTGGAAGAGATGATTCAGGGTATAGATGAAAGAGATATCTTTAATGTTGACGAGACGGGTCTCTTTTTTAAATGCACTCCTGACAAAACGCTAGCATTTAAAATGAAAAATGTCACGGAGGAAAACTAAGTAAAGAAAGAGTAACTCTCCTAATTGGTGCAAACATGGACGGATCAGAAAGACTGCCTCTACTGATGATTGGCAAGTCGGCTAATCCGCGTTGTTTTAAGAACGTCAAGTCAAAACCAGTGGAATATGTGAGCAGCGCAAGAGCTTGGATGACTAGTGATCTTTTCGAGAACTGGCTGAAAAAATTAGACAAAAAGTTCATAAAAGAAAAAAGAAAAGTTATTTTGTTTATTGACAATTGTACGGCACACACCACTATCCCACTGATGGAAAATGTAAAAGTTATTTTTTTTCCTGCTAACATGACTTCAGTTCTCCAGCCTATGGACCAGGGTGTCATAAAAATTTTTAAACATTTTTACAGACGTTTTTTGGTTGAAAACATATTGATGGAAGATTGCGACACCCTTAAAATAAAGTTAGACATTCTACAAGCATCTCGAATGTGTAAGAAAGCTTGGGACCAAGTAACACCCGAAACGATCAAACACTGTTTCAAAAGAGCTGGTTTCATAAAAAAGGAGGAGAACACAGACGACAATTTAACAGAAGAGCTGCTTTCAGTTGACTGCTGGGGGGACATCATTTCTGATCCTGCCATCTCTTATGAAGATTTTGTCAACGTGGATGAAGATGTTGCAGTATGTGGTGAAATAACCGATACAGAGATCATCGCTGAAGTGCTTAAGGACAATGATGAAAAACAAGAGAGTGATGAAGACGACGCATCATCAGTTGCGGGAGAAATACATGTTCCGAGTGCGGCCGAAGCAACACCGTTACGCAACTTAAACGGTACTTTGAAAGTAAAAATGATGTAAGTCACTCTATTTTTAGTTCACTGAACATCTTAGAATCGTTTGTCATTACCGAGACGTTAAATTCTAAAAAGCAGCTAAAAATTTTGGTTTCTTTAGGAAAAAATAGTCTATTTTCATTAATTGTAACAAATATGTATTCTTATTTTCAATAAATTTTTTGAGACAAAATGTTTTATTTTTTTAATGATGCGTTCTCACTGGGAATTTTTTATCTGCCTATTGTTTCGGCTAAGATTTGGCCAAAAATACCAATGAGAAAACCTGCAAATGATAAAAATCGACAATAATTGACCATTTGTTATAGCTTTCAAATGCTTTAATTGGTATTCTGGCCTAATTTTGTTGGCCCAATTTTTTCGGTTGACAAAATTCGGGCAAAAAATAGTAACGAAAACATCTGCAAGCGATAAAAATGGTCAACTATTGTTGATTTTTATCATTTGTATATGTTTTTGTAGGCATCTTTGTTTTTTGTGGATATATTTTTAATTCGATTTTTTGGATAATTCTGCAAACGATAAAATATTTCGATATCACTGCAGAAAACATCTGCAAGCGATAAAAATGGTCAACTATTGCTGATTTTTATCGTTTGCAGATGTTTTTGTAGGCATTTTTTTTTGTTGTGGATATATTTTTAATTCGAATTTTTGGATAATTCGAATTTTTGGATAATTCGAATTTTTTTAACGGTCCCTTGAGGTTCGACTTATCCAAGTTTCACTGTATTTGATATTTTCTTGTCGTTATTCTCATCATTCTTGTTTTTATAGTAATGGGTTTTGCATTACTATACAGAATATGTAACAAATGACCATTTTTATTCCAAATCCCTATTATATTTCTTTTATACGACTTTTCATCTTCTTCTTCAAGTGCCCTGTCCGTTGCAAACGTTGGCTATTACATGGCAATTCTGATCTTGTTTGAACCTCTTTCGCAGATTTTGGAGCCACGAGTGTCTTCTCCTGCCTGGCCCTCGCTTACTCTCTATTTTTCCCTGGACAATCAATTGCAGTAGACGGTGTGTCTCTATATATGGCCTAGATATTCAAGCTTTCTTTGTTTAATTGTATTCACGATTTCTTTCTCCTTTTCGATTCTTTAAGTTCAATTAGAAAATATATTATTCTGCAATTTATGTAGTAGGTAAATGAACTAATTATTAAAATATTATACGATATGGTTTTACAATGGCTCACTTATACATGGTGAAACTATAAAAGATTAACCTGTTAAGAATAATGTGAGATTACAAATTAAGGGGTTAATTTGTGATTGAACATTTGATCTGCACACTTTCACTGAGTTTGTTGCCAATTTTTGCTCTTGCTGTTTGACCCCAGTATAGGTTTGCCACAATTTGATGTCCTTGACGTAAATACCTGTATTTCGCAGAAGATCTATCAATTGTTCATGATTGACATTTTCATGGAGAGCGAAAATTGTTTCTCTAGTTCCAAATGCTTTCAAAAAACCAAACTGCGATCTATCAATATTTAACTCACATTTATCATATATTCTTCTATAAATGATCTTAGTGAACGCTTTAGTGACATGATTGATCAAGCTTATAAGTCGGTAGTTATCACATATCTGGGCATTTGGTTTCTTCGGGATTGTAATAAATGTTGACTGTAGCCAGTTCTCCGGGATTTTACCGCTATTATATATGTTGTTAAAAAGTACAACTAGATTATCAAGGAACTGTCTGATTTACATAGGATCTTTTCATAGTTACTGGTAATATAACCATTTCTCGACGACGTTCAAGTTGCGGTGTAATGAGACTCATTGTTAATGATTTCAAAAAGTTTCGGCAAGTACTATGAGTATTGTTATTTTTGTCAGCAACAATATGGCTATTTATACCAGATACATTCAAGGACGTAGAAAATAATGTCTCTGAACTAGAGTCGTGATCATTGTTCTCCAAAACGTCATCTCGGTCTTCATGACGAGATAGGTCCACCTATCTCATCGTCGCTCTCAATTTCAGCCCATAAGTTAGTTCTTTTCTCGTAAGAACACATAACCTGTAAATAAAAAAATTCTATTACAGATCACCATATATGTGACTATATTTTCCACTAAAATACTATACTTAAGCAATATTATAAAAAGAACCATACACAGAGTTCACTTACCGTATTATCAGTATCGAAAACTGTGAAACTGTTTTGTGAAACAACACAAAGATCTTTGATACGTATGTATACGTGCACGGTCAAAAGCACCGACTACAAAAATATTAACCTGTATCTCTCAAAGGCCAAATAAAAACTAAAATAATATAACGCCAGTCGGTAAGGGGAAAACCGCTTGAGGCATTCCAGGAAGGTCAGTATAGCTTGGTTACAGATAATTGGGAAATTTAAAGAAATAGACCAATTGATGTAATATTTTGCTTTGTTACAGGATAGTATTCAGAAAAATGCAAAAATAGTTACTGTGAAATATAATTTCATTAGGTACAATTATAAATATATTATATTTAAATAATTACTGTTTATATTACTTTATGTTACTTTATAACTGTTATAAAATTTTTTTTTATATACATGTACAACTACCACATGTTCTTTTGCTGTGCTAAGTTTAGGAAAATTGTTCAATTAACTTGTTAAATTAAATTAAATTGTTAAATTGTTAAAAAAAACTATATTTAGTTAAATTGATTGTTTATACAACATAATCTTTTAATGTCCATTGTCAGAAGCTTCTTTACAATTTTAATATCATTGACTGCTACATATCTTTTTGAGGTAACACACTTAACAACTTTTATTTGGATGTTAGGTTTTTCATACTGTTCTTTTTAGATACTGATGATGCTTTCTGATTAGAAAGCGAAACGTCTTCAATAAATAGATGAAGTAGCCATCATCTTTGTCTTTTTTTCTCCACCTTTTGACCGAAAAAACGCACCACTCTTCCGAGTG